CTTTGCTGTTTACAACCAAAACTTTCTTGAAGCTAAAGCTAAAATAATGGCCAAAGGAGGAGACGGCAGCGCTCAGGAGGACAATTTTTATCCCTCAAAGAAGACAAAGTCAGAATTACGGGCATCTTTTAGATATTTGACGAATGCCGAGGGAGTTGATAGAAGACGGCTATCCTGTTTGCAGCACGTGCAGAAAAAGTGTCTGTGAAAGGCAGCAACGCTTCAAATCTCATGACACATCCGCGTGACCATCACCCACAACTCTACAGTCGACGCAAGGCAAGCTAACGTTAGCGTTTTAGCTAAAATGCGTGATCCGAGGATTTGGGTGGAGGGAGAATGCAACGAGTCGCTATGTAAAGCAGCCGCAGCGTCGCTACCTGCATATAAACCGTGTCGCAGACACCCCCATGTTGAAATGACGCTATGCATTACGGGGCTCCCAGGGGCAGATAAGAGTTGGTCTCTCTCCGAGAATAATTGTAAATTTAACAATGATTACTGCCTGATGACATTTTCCCACATCTGCAAAGCTCACTGGAAGAACACAAACCGAAGACAATATTTTCTTGATATAGGGTTTATTACTCGAGTAAGGGTAAAAAAGTATCTGATTAGAAGACTACTTGAGTACTGAGTATCATCTGATCAAATATTTTTAAATGATGACATCAAACAGACATAAAATAAGAAGTTATGGGCAAATATTGGTATTTTAAAGACTAAAGGGAAAAAATGTAAACAAATAAACACCATAATCACAAAATAACACATTTTAGGCAAAATTTAGACACAAACTGAGGACAATATTTCCTGATATACAGGGTTTATTTAATTGTGTGAAAATGTAGCACGTTTAAAAAATATATACTGCGATAATACCGAAAACCGTGGTAATTTTGGTCACAATAACCGTGAGGTAAAATTTTCACACCGTGACAACCCTAATACAGACCATTTTAGATTAGGTTACATTTCCTTTATTCCCAGATTATGTAGTGTGTAGCACTCATTATAATGTTGTAGAAAATTTCTGGCCAATCCACATGATCGGTATCGGTGATCGGTATCGGTGATCAGCATTCTTTGATATCGTATCGGTGATCGGCAGAAAAAAACCTGATTGGTGCATCCCTATCGTTCAGCGAGGTAAACCCCAACATACAGGCACCAAAATGGGGGTGCCAAAAAAGTATGCCCACAACTGCTCGGTATCTCTCAGTGGGAGCAACTCCAAAGTGGTAGAACGTCCAACCCTTTTAGAGGAAGTTAGTTCCGGAGCCAGAGCCATGAGGTGAATTCAACTATATCTAGCCGGAACCTCTCAACCTCAGCCACCAACTCCGGCTCTTTCCCCACCGGAGAAGTGACCTTCCACGTACCAAGAGCTAGTTTTTGTAGTCAAGGAACAGTCCGCCAAGGTCCCTATCTTTGGCTACCACCCGACAGCGTCAGATGTGGGCAGCACGTCTCGGTTAATACAAAAAAATCTCTGCAGATGTTTGTTTATAAAAACATATGAAAGCATTTCTTACCTTTTGTTTTTCTCCTTACAATATTAAAGTAATAGCTTTTAATAATGTGATAGTAATATTTAAAATGTAATAGCTTTTTAATGTGGAATGACCTACCAAGCACTACAAGAACAGGGGCCTCCTTTTCGACTTTCAAGAAACTCCTGAAGACCCTGCTCTTCAGAGAGCATCTTCTAAACCAGCATCCTCCCTGCACCTGTCCCCCCTCTCTACTGTCCACTCCTTGTTCCCTCCTCTTAGGGCTGCACGATATTAGGAAAACCTGCGATATTCGATAACAGTGCTTAATATTGCGATATCGATATTACTCACGATAAATGAACAAATACTAAAGTATGCAGAGTTGATGTCGTCTGGCGTGTGACGTCTGCTCTGGGTTCAAAGCAAACAAAAACTAATGCATGAATTCCATTACAACATAACATTTTTATTGCAAAAATATGCAGCTGCACCTGCTACTGTGTTAGCAGCAAAACAACAAACTGCATGCATGCAGTTTCTCAGTGACTTTAAAACATCACCTCCACCATAAAACTTTTTCTGATGCTCCAAATACAGAAAAACATCCCTTACCAGGGTTTTTAGAATAAATAAAATATCAGAAAATAAGTTTAAATGTTAAATAATAGTTAACATCACTTAAATGCAACAGCAAATTCTCTCATTGCTACTGAGCATTTTCTCACTTATGTGGTTATGATATAAGGCTGTTGCTGCAATTGGGAAGTGAACTGTGCTGGGCCAAACTAGGAGAATATTAAGATTTTCTGAGGAAAAGAGAAACAATTGTCTACCATTCAGAAGAGGAACTGGCAAAAAAACTACATGGAAAATATGTGAAAACGTTTGTTTTTAACCCCAAATTGAACAAGTTTACCTAGATCTTAAAAAGCAGCTCAGATGATGAAACTGCAACTATGATTCTGGTAACAAGCTAACAAATTAAACTAGCTCCTCTTAAGATAACCAGCTAGCAGAGCTTCTGACTGACAGTTTATGTGCAGCAGCAAATCAACTATCCTTTTTCTCTGAAGGAAAATCCAACTAAAAAAGCTTTAAACAAAGAAATCCTTGTTTAAACAAAATCCGATTTTGATACATTCCGGTCAGAAAATTACTGTCATTTGTAAAAGTAACACAATAAACGTATTTTTAGCAACAATTCTAAAACAAAACTGCATTAAACCAAATGTAACCAAATTTTACTCATTCACTGCCAGCCGTTTCCTGATCGGTAAAGGCCTTCGCTGCCAGAGTTTCTCACTGTTTTTACTGTTTTTTGAAGAGTGACAGAACGTTGCACGGTAGGATGATGTCGACACCAAAACAACCAAAACAAAGAGGAGACTGACCTCTTACATCAGGAAGAATCCGCGCATTTCGAGCTTTATCCGTTCTTTCATAATCCGTTGTTGAATTGTGATCGGCAGAAGCTTTTCCGGTTCGAGCCTCACTTTTTTTTACAGCAGCGGCCCAAAACGATCTCCTAACACATGGATTTTCTACTTCCTGATCACGCGACGTGTGATGGCGCAGGGGCTCGTTCCGATGCCCACACAGTAAAAAAAAATACTAATGACGACAGTGAATGAGTTAAGAATTCTGAGTTCTACAAACTGAAGTACTAAGTGTGCCAATCAACTTTCACCAGCTGGCTGGGAAATAACTTCCTTCAGTTAAACTCTGAAAAGAGTGAATGTCTGATCGTCGCTCCTGAGAGAATGGTTTCCCTGATTAGTCAACAACTTGGTCATCTGACTTCTGCCGTCAAGTCAAACTTGAGAAATTTGGGTGTTTTGACCAATCGATGTCTCTAGAAAGTCACTCAAAAACACTGGTCTGAAACTGTTTACATAATTTTGAGAAATATCTCCAAACTGCGAAGGTTGGTGTCAAAACATGAACTTGAAATGGTTCTCCATGCCTTTATCTCCTCCTGTCTAGATTACTGTAACACACTCTTCACGTGTTTTAACAAAAATGCCCTTGACCGCCTTCAGTTGGTCCAGAACTCTGCAGCGAGGCTCCTAACTGGAACAAACAGAAGCGCTCACATCACTCCTCTTCTAATGTCTCTGCACTGGTTACCCGTTAACTTTAGAATTCATTTAAGAATCCTGACTATAACTTTCCATGCTCTACATGGCCAAGCTCCTCCCTATATTACTGAACTGTTTCCTTATTTTTTTATCTGTAAAATAACTTTTTAAATATCTTTCTGTCATTTTGTAATTTCATGATTATGCCCTATTATTTTAAACTTCAAAATCTCTTGTGTTTTCCTATTTTATTTTTATTTCATCTTAATGTTGTTTTATATTTTTTTATGTTTTACGATTATTTCATGACTTTAGAATTAGTTTTGTTGCTCTTTGTGATTTTTTTTCCTGTGATGAGTGCAATATAAATAAACTTTATTCACTTACTTTATTAATGATATTTAGTGCATCATTAAGAATTATTAAACAAAGGGGTCCTTTATTAACAATACTATTATTGTTAACTATTAAGGGTCCTTAAGGTTAGGAAAAAGGGCCAGGAGGGTAATGAGTAATGCATTACAAAATATGGTTAAGCAGTTGTTATTACTTTATTTAATCGTTTTTTAATGCTTAATAATGCATTAAGTGATTTTGTAAAGGGATCTTTATTGCAAAGTGTTAAGTGTTAAAAGACTGTTTATAAATTATTTCATAAAATCACAATAAAATGGGACAATTCATATTTTTTGTGCACGATTATTGCAAGTAAATGCAATGCTTAAACAGCTGGAATGAAACAAATACACCACGAAATACATGTCTGATAATATTTACTTAAATAGCTGTTTTGTTATTTAAAGTAGCAGGTAAACAGTTGAGATAATAATCTGATGAGAATAACAGAAGATAAACAAAGGCAGAAAATGAGGGTGGAGTAGCTAATAATCTACTACTGGTGGGTGTTTGGATGTGTGTGTGTGTGTGCGTGTGTGTGTGTGTGCGCGTGTGTGTGTGTGTGTGTGTGCGTGCGTGTGTGCGTGTGTGTGTGTGCGTGCGTGTGTGCGTGTGTGTGTGTGTGTGTGTGTGTGTGTGTGTGTGTGTGTGTGTGTGTGTGTGTGTGTGTGTGTGTGAGTGACAGAGCATCACAGGCCAGCTGAGGCCCCACACCCTTTGTTTACATTTTGTTTGCATCCATGGCTCCTCACTCTTCACCAGAAACTAGCCGGTGATGGTCTCCTATCTGTCGGGTCGGCCTGCCGGGGAACGGCGCAGAAAAATTAAACACCCATTGTTGTCTCTGCTTCCTTTTCCTTCCTTATCGCTGTTGCTAAACTATCAGCATCCTTCAGTCAGTAAACGGTACCCAGAACTCCGCCACGCCCCTTTAAACCACCAAGCTAGCTTACGTGTTGTCACAGACTATTTCCTGGCAAAGCATTTTTGAAGAAGAAATGCTGTTATGGATTAGTGGAGTTTGACTTACCAGCGTTTCAGTCTAAACTGTCATCGCGTCTGGAGGCTCTGAAATCCCCTTTCCCGCTCGTAGGTTGACGCTCGTGCGCGGTGCTGATATTATATGTGGTTTTGCAGCCAACTGGAGGTGTTTTCTTCAATGTTAGCCACATAATACAGATGTGGTCCCCCAACACGACGGCTGTTATTGTCTAATATCGCCATTGCACTTCCAGACTGGGCGTTACGTCATCCGGGGAGGCTGAACGCGGTTTTACGCGGGTTGACAGGCAGAGGAGATGTGGAGGCGCGCGAGCCATTGGTCCAGCACGCGGTGGGGGCGGGAAACATCCACATGACTGGTTTCATGCAGGCAGGCACATCTCCTACCTTTCTGTTTTTAACGCCTCATGGTGCTTCCATCCGTCCTCTCACGGCCAATCACGCTGCGCTTGCTCACAGAGGTGCTGCTCGCTTCCAGATGGAGATCTTGTGTTTATTTCAGGATCCAGTTCCGTTTTACATTTATTTGTTTGTATTGTAGTACACATGAACTTGATGACCCGTCTGCTGTCCCTTTAAAGCATGAAACACGAAACAAAAAAAAAACAAAAACAAAAACAATACAAAAAGCAATCTGAATTTTCTTTAATTCGTGTATTTATCGTCTTCAAAACTGTTATGTAATTACTGAAAACATTTTAAGCCGTAATAAATGATAACTGCATTTGTGCCTTTTTGAGTCAGAGGACTCCAAAGTGCTTTATACTACCCTGCTGAAAAAAACTGCATATGTTGTGTTTTGGATGGGATGCTGGTGAAAGGATGCTGGACCAGCTAAACCAGCACCAAAACATAAACATATGCTGGTCTATGCTGTTTTATTTCAGCGGGTGTTTTTTTCTTATCACCACACAACGATGCTGAGATATTGTAGGCACAACTGCCCTGGGGTACACCGATGGAGGCGAGGCTGCCATGCAGGTGCAACTGGTTCCTCCAGCACGGAGGAAGAAATGTCATGCCCAAGGACACAACGACTGACGGAGCCTGGGTTTAAACCAGCAACCCACTGGTTACCAGTTCATCTCCTAACCAAGGGGTAGAAAACCCTGGTCCTGGAAGGCCACTGTCCAGCACGTTTTAGAGGTTTCCCTGCTTCAACACAGTTGCTTCACCTGTGCAGCAGCTCACCAGGCTCTGCAGAAGCCTCCTAATCATCTGCTGATGAAAACCAGGCGTGTAGAAGCAGGGAAACCTCTAAAACGTGTTAGATGGCAGCTCCTCAGGACCAAAGTTCCCTACACCTGTCCTAACCCAGGGCCATCGTGGCCTTTCAGGAGCAGTGTCCTCTGCAGAACCCAAATAACTTCTTCAGTCCTTTACAATAAAGGCTAATTGTGCAGGATCAAAGGAACAGCTGTAGCCAAAAGATGTCATATTAAACTGAATCCCTTGTGTTTTGACTTAGTAACAACACACCCATAACCCTTGGTTAAAATAACAATTAAAAACAGAACAAATACAGCTGGGTCCGGATGGAGACCACTCCCTCAAGGAACGCCTGAAATAGCAGGTTTCAACTTTCTCTCAACATATCGTCTCACTTCCTCCCCATTTTTCTGTTGTAGCAAAATATAGGTTCAAGAGCCGCTCGCATGTTTTTAGTCTCCTCTAGTCTACGTGTTGGTGTTGTCCCATATGTCAGTGTTGCTCTGAGACCGCAGCAATCAGGTTGTTTTGTTGCACTTAAATGGCTTTGACCTTAAAAGAGAGGTTACAGAAGTTAAAATTGAATACGCTGCAAACCCAAAACGTAACTGCTACTGTCAGATATTTGACCAAATATTCCTGTGATCACATTTCACTGCGGCTGCTAGCATTTATTTGACTGTGGCCTGCAAATGTCATCTGAGTGCAAGATCCGCCGGAGCAAGGTTCAGCAGACACTAAAGGCTGTTTGTTCAGTTCTCAGACCCCATCTAAACAATCCATGATCTAAAAATAAACAAGATATGATTCGCTACAAGGCAGCGGAAGTAAAAGAAAGAGACAGGAAATATTTTATTTTTTTAATAACTATTCTAAGGAACAATAGTTTTAGATTAAAAAAATACACATTTGTCTTTTAGTGAAGCATTTGTTATAAATCTACATTTAGATTTAATTATAAAGAATTTCAACAACCCTTTCATTAACATCTATCTGTTTATAAGGCACACTTTTCTCTACAAACACAATCTAACCAGAAGAAATAACTTGCCTTTTGTGCAAAACATCTTCAAGAACATTATATAAATATGATTTATTTGAATTTGACTGCTGATTAAAACATCTGAACAGCAGTTTTTGACCTTTCAAGAAATCTTTGAAAACACTGAAAATCAACCATTGAACCTACGGACCTGAAACCTTAATAAAAACAATCTCATCTTAGTGAAATGCTGAGTCAATCTAAAACATAAATACTCTGCTTTGCTAACGCTACCGTGCAGCTGCAGCAAAGGTTCGTTTGAAATGAGGGATAGAAGAAGTCCTGAGTGAAAAGCAGAGAGGCTATTATTGCACAGCAAATGTTCACACAGCTTTTCCGACGCGGCTCTCTGTGCTTTGGCAACGAAGAGGCTACCAAATGTGTTTGCTGCTGCTCTGCAGAGCTCACACAGCCACTCTAATTAAAAGTGAAGCTTCCGTCTGGACAGACCAGCAGACAACCGTCGTCTTTTAAGTCCCCTCCAGGAGCTTCCTGAGGTTCCTCTGAATCTAGGAATATAAGAGAGAGAGGCGGTAAAGTTATATAAAAACAGTGTCGATTTTTCCATGAATGGTAAACAAAATGCTGTGTGGACTGAGATTATTGCTGCTTTAGTGTGTTGAATATAAAGACGCAAATGGTCAGCTTAGCTTAGCATGAATGTGATCAGTCAGGAAAAAAAAGTCACTTTTGTGTTCGAACGAGAGGAAAAAGGCTCAGAAGGCATCTAGTGTCTTCTTCAAATGGTGTTATCTGGTGTTCAGCATCCAGGAACATGAGGTCTGAGTGGAAAATTACAGATGAAGAAAACTGGTGTCTCCTACTGTAGGCTGCTAAAGAGTCAACCGTATAAAAATACACACCCTAAACAAACACTGTAAAAGCAACAATCCCTGTGAAAAAGTACCAAGTAAGGGATTACCTTACTGCCCAGAAATCCGACAAAAACCTGGAAATATGAAGAATCTAGGAGCTCGTTTTTCATTTGCTATATTTGCAAAAATAAGGGTATGGAGCAGGGTTGGTCTAAAGCGAGGCCTTGGTGGCCCCTGGAAGGTGGCCCCTGTAGTGCCCCCAGCAGGCTGTTGATGTAGCTAGACAATTCCTATGATTAGTTTCACTAATATGCTTATTCTAGGCCAATTTTTAGTTGTGTAAATAAGAAAAATTCAGCGTATGGTCACAAGCTCTGGGTAGTGACCGAAAGAACGAGATGGACCAAAATGAGTTTTCTCCACAGAGTGACTGGGCTCTTCCTGAGAGATAGGGTGAGAAGCGCGGTCATCCGGAAAGGGCTCGGAGTAGATCCACTGCTCCTCCTCATCGAGAGGAGCCATTTGAGGTGGTTCGGGCATCTGATTAGGATGCCTCCTAGATGCCTCCCTGGGGAGGTTTTTCGGGCACGTCCAACCGGGAGAAGACCTAAAGGAAGACCCAGGACAAGCTGGAGGGGCTATGTTTCTCAACTGGCCAGGGAATATCTTGGGATTCCCCCGGAGGAGCTGGCCCAAGTGGCTGGGGAGAGGGAAGTCCGCACCTCCCTAGGCTGCCGCCCCTGTGATCTGACCCCAGATAAGCAGTGGAATTGATAGGTCAGGTTTATCTTCATGACAACTCTGAGGGGGGTACAGTTTTTGTGACCCACCCATTTAGATGTAATTAAAGCTTAAATTATGACTAATTAGGGGATTTTCCTTTTGATTGGTAGCAGAAGAGCCATCAGCGCTTGCAGTTTGCCCCCCTGCTTGCTGCAGGGAAGACCTCAGCCTCGAAGCGGCGCTTCACAACTAGCAGCGTTCATGGTTCATGCGGCTTGTCTCTGCGGTGAGCCAATATTCTCCCTAACTGAATGGGGCAGCATGGAGCTCTACAGCATGCATCCAACACTACACCATAGTAGAAGTAGAAATGGCTGTTTACAACATGGCATTCCAGCATTTTTTAACAGCGTCCTCGTCTTTTCCGACAGTGCGAGCTATTTCTCTCCAAGGATTATTAACATGTTGATCACGGTGATCTTTGAGAGCTGAATCATACAAATGTCTGTATTTATGAACCTCTGCCATACTAGTTCTTGCCAGTCCGCCATGTTTTTCCGCGTCCAACCGTCCGCGTGGTTAGAAAATTTCTTAGGTGAGCGGTGCGGACAGTTTGGGCAGTGCAGAGGCGCGACGGAGGGGCGTGGTTGTTAAAATAACGCAATGTTGCCGCACGGAGCCGTGCGAACCTCGCGGACGCGTCAAGCATAAACCAAGCTTTACAGCCTAGGAGACAGAAGGTAGGAGAGTCACTCAGTCTTGGTTTCTGGGAGTCAATCAGCTGCCCCCATCCTCACAACCCTGCTCTCAGCTCCATTTTTGTATTTTCCTGTAGTGACGCAGCCAAGATGGTGGTGGTGTGAACTGCCCACTGGGCGTCAACACAGCTCTACATAAACCTACAAGTGTTGTAACAGAGGGTGGGTCTATATTATATATCCATTATATAAACATTGGACTTCAATACCTATGTGTGATTTTGTTTGCCTGAAATGTCCTTTTCTACTCTCAAGAAGTAAGAAAGAAGGTAATAAATGCAGGATAATATCCGCGTTTGACAGGAAAAGAAAATTCAACATTTTTAAAGTTTTTTGTAACTTCAACTAAACTCCGTATACGAAGGTATTCCAGAAATAAAACTTGTCCCTGCAGGCTGGCTGGTTAGCTCGATGGCTAATTACATTTGTGTGGACTCTGTGGTCCAGGGCTTGATAATAATCTTAAAGGTTAAATTGGAAACAACTAAATATTTCTTGTTTTCCTTGAAGACGTTTCATCTCTCTTCCAAGAAGCTTCTTCACTTCTGAACCTCAACCCAAGTTTCAGAACAGAAAAAAAGAAAAAAATAATAATTAAAATAAAAATAAAGAAAAAAGAAATAAGTTTAAAAAAAAAAGAAAAACAAATAAATGGTAAATGGCCTGTATTTGATATAGCGCCTTCTAGAGTCCTGGAACCCCCCAAGGCGCTTTACAACACATTCAGTCATTCACCCATTCACACACACACATTCACACACTGATGGTGATGAGCTACGATGTAGCCACAGCTGCCCTGGGGCGTACTGACAGAGGCGAGGCTGCCGAGCACTGGTGCCACCGGTCCCTCCGACCACCACCAGCAGGCAACGTGGGTTAAGTGTCTTGCCCAAGGACACAACGACAGCGACAGACTGAGCGGGGCTCGAACCTGCAACCTTCCGAATACGGGGCGAGCACTTAACTCCTGTGCCACTGTCGCCCACAAATAAAAATAAAAGACAAGAAAAAATAAGAAAGATAAATATTAAAAAAAAAGAAACTCTACTCAAGTTTCAGAACTGAAGAAGCTTTAATTCAATTACAGAAATGAATGCACTTTTGCACGATGTTCTAATTTTTCCAGTTTCAGCTGTATAACGAACTGAGCCAGAATGATCTTCATGTTTACCTTCTTGATACTAAACTAAATCAACCAGCTGCTGGATCTGGACTCGTGTTTATTCTGCAAACATAAATCAGAATTCAACTCTTCAATGACTCTTAATGCAAGCACAGGGAAGTCCTTTGATCAAAGAATTTTTGCAAACTTTAGGATCTTGTGCATTTTTATTGGGCTTCCCTTTCTTCATTGTAATATTAATGAGTTTTAGTTTAGATGTCATGTTGCACGTACAATCAATAAACAAACCTTCTCCAACTTGAACAGGTTGGTAGATAGCTCTCCATACATTTCAGCATTCACCTCAACCTGTGACCTTTGGCTCCCAGTATTCCTGAAACAAGGTGTATCAAATTATTAATGTGATTATGAATGTATTGCACTGACCCTCAGCTCCCTGTGGCTCTTACTCATTACGAATGAGTTCTCCCATCGACAACAGGGAGTTCAGGCGGTGCTCGAGAGCCACGATCTTAAATGTCATGTAACAGGAGGACAAGACGAGGATGACGACTCTGCGACGACAAACACAGCAACTGCTCAGACAACAGGGAACAATCGGAAACACAAACAAACGAGGCAAAAAAATTCCCTTTCCAGAGAGGCCAACACTGTTGTGGCTTCTCAGGTTTCACATAATGGCCGTTCACTTACAAAAACAGGTAGATAAAAAGGATGAGATGTAAGGACTTTGGCTGTGAGGGTGAGTCTTTCAGGGTTAGTCCATGTGCTGCTGCCTTGCCTGAGCAACAAAAGAAACAAAGAAATAAATCCAGTGTGGAAAATTACCAGTAAGAGAAGGAAACACACACCGATTCTAATTCATACCACACTTATATCTAAAGTGGAACTAAACAGCACGTGTGTTGACCAAAAGTGGCGTGAAACATAAGTAGTGTTTGTTTTGATTATCTTAGCATGTGTTTCATGCATTGTGACTTTATTCTTTTGAATAAAGTTTTGGGGTTTTTGTGAAAAGATTTCAAACAGTCCCTCCGTGCTCTTAAAGGGCCGTAGCTCAGGAGGTACAGCAGGTTGTCCAGTAACCACAGGGTTGTAGGGTCGATCCTACCTCCTGGCAGAGAGTGGTGCTGTTGTGTCCTTGGGCAAGATACTTAACCCACCTTGCCTTTTGGTGGTGGGAGGGACCGGTGGCACCTGCGCTCGGCAGCCTCACCTCTGTCGGTGTGCCCCAGGGCAGCTACGGCTACGATGTAGCTCATCACCACCAGGGTGTGAATGAGAGTATGTGAATTGCTGATTATGTTGTAAAGTGCCTTGGGGGGTTGTGGAACCTTGAGCTTGGTTTATGCTTGACGCATTCACTTTCTGCTTGGTGATGCGGCTCGCAGATGGAACGCGCTTCACAACTCACAGGGTTTATGGTTCATGCGGCTTGTCTCTGCGGTGAGCCAATATTCTCCCAAACTGTAGGGGGCAGCATGGAGCTCTACGGCATGCACCCAACACTACACCATAGTAGAAGTAAAAATGACTAATGTTTACAACATGACATTTCAGCAATTTTAACAGCGTCCTTGTCTTTTCCGACAGTGCGAGCTATTTCTCTCCAAGAATTATTAACAACATGTTGATCACGGTGATCTTTGAGAGCTGAATCATACAAATGTCTGTATTTACGAACCTCTGCCATACTAGGTCTTGCCGGTCCGCCATGTTTTTCCGCGTCCGACCGTCCGCGTGGTTAGAAAATTTCCTAGGTGCGCGTTGCGGAAATTTTGGGCCGTGCGGAGACGCGGTGGAGGGGCGTGGTTGTTAAAATGATGCAAAAACGCAACTTTTCCGCACGGAGCCGTGCGGACCTCGCGGACGCGTCAAGCATAAACCAACCTTAAGAAGGTGCTATATAAATACAGATGGTAAATACCTCAGTTGACTGGGGAAACACTTCTAACCCGACAGATAAGCTAAACCAACTAACAACGACCAAAGTGAATGACCATCATTTCACCCAAAGTTGAAATTTTTTCTGTTGACATATTTCCCCAGTTAGATACGTTGGATCCATTCACTCACTGTGTTTTATGCTAAGCTAAAGCTAAAGAAGTACAGCTGTGTCAGGAGACTGACTGGGCTGGCTAAAGAATGATTTTTTTTTCCCCCACTTTTCTAACTTTGGGAAATATGTCAACAGACAAAATGTCTATTTTGGGTGGAATATCCCTTTCACATTTCATGCATACTGTTTTATAAACCTTTACATCAAAGTAACCAACCAAAATGTTGACGCTTGTTCAGTGGCTGGCCATTAAAAGCCATATCTGCTCTGAAGCCAGCACGCTGCAACCATTGTTGGTACGTTGTTACTGAATCCACTTCTTTACCAGTCGGTGACACTGGACACTGCTGAGCGGTGACGCACTAATAACTCGTCTGCCTGTGTGGTGATGTCTTCAGCTCATAGGCTGACTTTCTGCCAGGCTTAAGATATGCAAACAGATTCAAACACGCAACCACAACCTAGCCTATGGAAACGAAGGTCGGTGTTTCAGGGTTCTTAATGCGGCCAGAAAACAAACAGAAGATAGGGATCCGTGCCAAGGCAGCGTTTTCTGAGTTATGGTTACTGACGGATTAAACGATCATCACCTGAATAAAAAAGGCCTTTTAGCTGTTTGCTGGACTCGTTAAAGCTCTTTCTGATGAGACGGACGTTCCTCTCCCTTCAGCGGTATAAATAGGTCAATAGAGAATGTATTTTTTCCAACCCGTTAACTCCAGTGACACGAAACATGAGCCTACAGAGGCTGTCACAAAGCTTTTTTCATTGAAGTACCGTTCTTCAGGGTGGGCCCGTGCTTTTGGCTTGGACTCTGGAGGTGAACGTCTGCATGGACTGAAACCTCTCTGCTCTTCACCGTGTTCAGGAATGCCCCTGGGAGGCTGGAGAAGTCTGTCCACACAAACACAGAGAAGTTACTTGAGTAAATATTAACACAACTTGAAAATATTTTGGAGATCAATCTCCGGTGTTGGCTTCCAAGACAAAGCTGGACGGAGGTTTGGTCTGCAGATTTTCTTTGGGGATGATCACCATTGTTTATATGTCAACAAAACAACTTTCCAGGTTTGAATTTTCCTGCATTTTTCCCTCTAAAGCAAAAACTGTGCGCCAGAGTGACACCTGACACCCTTTTCACCATCCAGTGTGTAACGGAGGAGGACGAAACACACACCGTCTATTTTATCATAATCAGGAGTTTGAGACCCTGAGCTGCTGCTCTCCATCATCTCCTGCCGTCTCTGCTGCACAACCCCGTCGAGGTCGGAGAAGTCTCCAGAAAAGTCCTGAGACACACGTGCATGATTGCACACAAACAGAGAGGGTGTTGAGTTTCACAAGAACAATGCACTTCTGTGGACTTCTCATCACAATGAATACATCCTGATGAAAACATTCCTGAAAACAGAAGAGCGGAGCGCTGACTGACCAGAGGAAGCGACGACGGGCAGCTGGCTCTGAAGCTGTTCCCACACGACGAAGCCACGGGGCTGCTGCTGACCTTATCCACCTGCAACATATTTACATGAAAGATGGCTTAAAATGTAAAATTACACTTTCAATCACGCTATGAGCAACATGCAAAGTATGTAGTTATTGATCTAGGAGCATGTTTGTATAAAGATGGCTGCTTATTTTATTAAATAAAAATCAGTTTATTTAGCACCACATCACAAAATTCATCTCAAGGCACTTTACAAAGTAAAGCCTGACTGATGCTTCTCTTCTTCTGCAAGGGAGAGATGCGCACACACACTGATGGAAACGTGTTACCTTCGGACTTCTCCGTCACCCGGGGAGTAATGCAAGTAATTCCCCTCCAGGACGACAGAGGGCGTAGCGCTTCTCTGCATGTTTTTACAGTTATGTATCCAGTTACTATTGTGTTTGTATTGTGTTGTTTGTATTTCAGAGACTTTTTAACGTGGACAAGTTTGTTCCGTCATTGTCTGTCCATCCTTGTGTGCTTGTTGGAGAGCCCTCAGAACAACCGATAACGCTGTTGCACGTATAAAGTATAAACTAGGCTTAAACATTCCAATTGAACCTACTTATCAGTGCATTAAGTATAATTCATCATGCAAATTTGTTAAGTTTAAGCAAACCCAGCAGATTGAATCAAGTCACTGACTTGTTGTGTCGGTGACTTTACAGCAAGTCCCAAACTAAGCAAGCATGTAGCGACAGTGGAGAGGAAAACTCCCCTTTAACAGGAAGAAACCTCTAACAGAACCTGGATCAGTATGAGCAGCCATCTGCTACGACTCACTGGGTTTTTAATGAACTAAATTAAATTCTGTAATTGTAATAAAATAGCCTGAAGTATTTTCTTAATCTCCTGTAGTGAAAAATAAGCTTACAGTTATGAAGGAAATGGAAAAAGCCAGCCTCCTAGTTTATTGTGACAAATTAAGGAATTAGTTATGATAAAAGTTATTATTAATCATTTCTTAACATGAAAAAGTGTATTTAATTTTCTTTTGGGAATAAAGTCATTGACTTCAACTGGAAGTTTTTGAGTTTCCTATGGAAGAAAACCTCACAACGTTTGCGTTACTCAAGATCTTTGTGGGATTTTGCATGCAGAACATTTGGTCTCTAGTATGAAGAAATGTCTTGAGAGTAATTCACTGTTTTTAGGGGTAGAAGTTTGTAGGTGGAGAGGTGGGCAGAAAATGGCAAGACTATTCATTAATATTCATGAGGTGCAAATTTCTCCCCACTGATTGGCTAACAGCAACGAGACTCTTCTGCTGCCTCTGTTCGCTCCTCTTTCTTGGGTAAGAAATGCAGCGTTGATGTGTTATGTCCACAAAAAACACAAGCCCAAACATGTTCTGCCATTTTGTTGATCTGCTAATAGTTAGCTTCTACTAGCCATACTTGCTTTGCTCTCTCCTGGCTGCAGTTACAATTCAAGGTGGGCGGGGCCATGAATACCAATTTTCCTTGTAACGTAGAAGAGACTGGCCTTATCTAACCTGATCATTTTCTCGTCTGTCCTTTCTGCGGCTAATAAAGGCAACAGTGCGTGGCTAAATGTTTTACATTTAGCATGCATGTGCAACTCAAGAGTCATAACAAAAAACTTACTCGGTTTTATGGTGAATGAGACATTTAATGTACTTTTGGCCCCATATTTTGATCTAGCCTTACTTTACGTTGCCTTTTCCACATTTGCATAAAATAGCACCTCAATTTTACACGTGACACAAGTCAGATGTACTTTTTACTTCAGAAATATCCACCCTATCAGGATGAGTATATATTTCTTACATGTGAAACGTTTTTTTAAAAGGGTGCAGATTAGGGATGTGTATTAGTGAAATTCTTGCAATACGATACGTATCACGATACAGGAGGGACGATACGATATATCACCACATATTGTGATACATTCAGCCAGATGATATTAGCAATATTTTAGTCTGAATTTATTGTAGGAATATTCAATAAACAGTCCAAACTGACATGTAACATGTTTACCATGAGGTATCTGAACTATGATAGAGATGTACATTTCAATGGTGGAAAAAAAAACCTTTGTACACTGCTGCCAACTAGCGGTCAGCGTTTGAATTGCACTCAAAAAACAATAAATAAATAAATAAATAAAGAAGAAAATACACAAATGTTTTTCTTCCAAAAATTTGATACATGGCTTTTGAATATTGATATAATATCGCAGGAAAAAATATCACAATATATTGCCATATCGAAATTTTCTTACATCCCTAGTGCAGATGAAGTTGTTTTGAGACAAACATTCTTTTATTTAGAGATTTTAAAGGGGCATTATGGAAGTTTGTCAGCCAAAACATGTATAGAAATAATAAATTTCTTCTTCATACATTCTCCTGCAATGCCCTGGTCCTGTAGAATGAGCCCTGGCATTTTTACTGTGATTGCCTATTTTTCTGTAAAATCACAGAAAAAGAGACCTGCTCGGGTCAAGCAGGCTGCTTCATGCACGTTCACACTCAGGCATAGCCCTCCGAACAGTTCTTTGAACGTTGTTTCAGCTGTCATCAAGGATATAAATGTTACAGGTACAAAGGACGTCATTGGCGCTTTAGCTCGCCTAGAAAGATGTCGGACTTTCGTGCAGAAGACCTGGGTTTGATTCTGGATGTGAACATATTTTATTTAGAGTTTCTTTTACATTAAGGTATATTTTTTTTACAGTAAGATGCCCAAATTTTTATTTGAGACTCGCCAAACGGCATTGAATTCACAGATAAAAAAGATGTGGGTTCAACTTTCATTTTGGAACAATTTTTCAATCAAGGGAAGGGAATGATCTGAGCATGCAGGAGGACTGACCCATCTTAAACCTTTGTCTGCTGTGCTGAAGAGAAAGGTACAGAACCAAATTATTTAATTAATTAGCTGCGCGTTCTCCTGTACTCTGTCCTCCGGGCCACACACACACACACAAGGGACTGTCTCAGCTTTTATTTTCGTTAAGGAGTGTTCACGTACAGCATGTGCGCCTCGTGCACGAGCCTACTATTGAAGCTACCGTTACGCTTTTGGCCTGAGGGGGCAATCACGAGCATAAAAATTCAAAACTCCGTAAGTCCCTTTAAAGATTGTTGGCTGATTAATAAAACTTTCCTCACTTTCACGTAATTATCTCACCACAGTGAAACAATTGATGTAAACAACATTCAAAGATTATGATTCACCTCCAGATGAGGGCAGACAGATTTCAGGAGTTTGAAGGTGTTGTTTCGAGAGAGGAAGGAAACAAACACATGCTGGAAAAGAGAAATCCAGGATTAGTTAGAAGTCCGTACTAAAAACGTAATAAAAAGACTACTTGTTGTGTCCACTACTTCCTCACTTGTTCAATTGTAGTTACAATCACGAGGGCGTTTGGCACCAATAACGCTGTTTTAGTCTTTTTGATTAACTTCACAGACATCACCGGGATAGAAATCTGCAAACGTGAAATAATTCATCCTAAATACTGTTAAGTCTGTATAATAAAATACAGAAATACCATGTTATTACGTACTCTAGTATCTTTGCCAAAGACTTTGGAGTGGAAGCAGATCCAGTTATCAGAGACGAACATTTTACCCTGATATAACATATCTTTCTGCCAGGCACAAGTGTAACCTGAAAACAGAGGCACATCTTTAATCAAACTAATTGTTTTCTTGCGTAAATTTAAAGTTTACAACTTACTCTGTCTGAGTATCTCATCTTTGCGGACATCCTTAAATAACTTGTGGTACTGCGTGTTGCTCTTCGATAACTAAAAACAACATTTTATTATGATTGTTGGAAATTTGGGACCAGATTAGGCAAAATTTGCTCAATTGGAGCGTTAGTACCTGGTTGGACTGGGGCTTCTTCCTGTCGAACTTTGTTTCAAACTCATACAGACTCAGCATTGGTGAAAGTGGCTCTGCAGGTTTCTGCCTGTAAAATAAAAGGTCAGTGATTGTGGATTAGTAACCAAGCAACAGCAGGGCAGGCTGTAGAACTAAAAGTTAAAGCAGAAGAGATGGTTGTATCAGGTAAAAGTTCACTTCCATCTTAGTTTGACGATCGATTATAAACCCCGTTTTGGCTTTGCTGACATACGTAGCAGCTGGAGAGTAGAAAAATATGGCTAACCTTTACAAGTTTTTAAAGGTGCATTATGTAAAAATAACATCCTGTGGCAAAATCTGGGTACTGCAGCCCATTTTCAAACCACATGAGTGACTATCTCATTACGCCAGAAGATTCTGGATGATAACCGTTGATAAGTAGATAAATACATTTCACTGTAATATCAAGTAGTTGGTCACTGAAAATGTAGCTTGAGATATTTTTGGGAGCTAACTTTTTACTTCTAATTCAACGTTAGCATAGTTAGGGTACTAGAAATAAGGTCTGGGTTGCCTCTGTTGCTGGCTTGAGATCTTTCCAAAATGCTACTGTGTTTTGACGGCCTGTGTTGAATTACAAATGGCTTGCACAGACTTGGCTTCCCAAGCAAATACTATGTCCCTTTTTGACTTTTTTGAAAGGAGAAAAACTGGCAATCCCCCAGCCAGATGAGAAGAAACTGAATTTCAATGTGACCTTCCTTTCGATATGATGGAGACATTAGACTATTTTGTATATTTTTTTCCACTGTAAACCTCTTTCACATTGTGCCTTTTAGTTTGAAAAAAAAATTAAATAAATTACCAACAAATATTGTGGTGGATCAAACTAAGTTGGATCCTGTTAAGAGCTAGCTAAAAAAGTGTGGGTCACTTGTTTCATCAATTCATTTGCAGTGGTTTCTAGTAGGAATTAATACCTTGTTAGTCATACTTGGAGGGAAAAAAAGTTCAGATGTGCTTGTTTGAGGACATACAATCAGCTGGAGTCACCTTAAAGCTTCAGTATGGAGTTTCTCGGCACTAGGGGGCAGTACATACATACATTTCAGGGTAGTTTTACACCATATCACCGTGACTGTCGCTAGTTTAAAAAAAATTATGGAATATGTTGTTAATTGTGGAGCAGAAAGAATGCAACTTCAATGTAACTCCTCAGACTTTGATGGTTAGTTCTATCGAGGGAATGCAATGCCGATTGTAGTTTTCTGGCACTGTAGTTTCCAGATTTGCTCGGGGTCCTGCGCCTGCTGATGACATCATCATTCTACAGCAATACCACTTGGCCAAAATATATTGCATCTCTTTTTTAAATTTTGTTCTTTCACGTGTTTTGGAAAGAGTTTAGCAGTTTTGTTTTTAAATTTGTATTTCTCACTGCCTAAATGTTTTTCAAGGTGTTAACGCCGAAAAGTCATATACCCAGCCAATCATCTAGTGATGTCATCAACAGGAACAGGAGCAGGACCCCGAGCCACCAAGAGGACATGTCTAATATGGTGTCCCCCCAAAGATGATAGACCCTCGCCCTATGTACCTGATTCTTTTGGTTATATTTTACGAAGCCACCAATATTTTCTACGTCTGGACATCATTTTATTCATTTTCAACAACATTTTCATGGATATTTCCATGGATTAAAGGTGAAACTACACACTGCCACTTTAAGATGACAGAATTTAAAGTCTTATTTCTCACTTCTGATTGGATGAAGCTATAAAACTCTATCACCAATTTTTGCTTTGCTAAGTTGATGTTTTATATCCACAAACAACACAAGCCTGGAGGAGTAATACCATGTTGTTGCGTTCAGAAATAATCATTAAAAAATAGGTTTTTGGTGAATAACACCTTTAAAGAGCAAGTCACCCCCAAATCAACTTTATTTTGCTGATAAACTGTATAATTGAATGTTTAAGAGTGCTGTAGACATCTGTAGTCCTTATTTTGGCATTTTAGTAAATCACCATCTTTGAGTAGTTGATAAAAGTGCTTTATAAAAAGTAGTAGCAGTAGTAGTATTTAAAATAAAAAAATTCTACTTAAAACCGTCATTATTGCTCTTGCCCTTTAATGTCCGCAGGGGGCTTCCGTAGCTCGCCGCAAACGGTGCATGGCATAGTAGAGTGACATGGTTAAGTAGGTAGATTTAAAATAATAATATTTTCACAGATTACATATTTTTACTTTGACTCGAGTGCTCCAGCCTTCTTCTTTCACTTCAAAGGAATTAGAAGAAGAGTGTTGCTCCCCTTTTCATGACAGACACCATAGAAGAAGATCTATGGCACACCTCCGTGTGCTTGCATTTCAAATTTTTAAGGAAGCATAAACTACGTTTGACTGTTTTTGATAAAGCTCTTCAGTAAAAATAACATTTTATGTTCATCAAGCAGATCCAAAGATACTGGTGACTTGAAGTTTAATCAAACTAAAATACGGTATGCGTGTGGAGTCACTCTTGTGTCAACAGTAGTTATGTTGTTTTAGAATGCTGCCTGTCACATGGCATTCTGCCAAAAGTAACTCAAAGTAGCATAACAATTACATACTACTGCCTCAAAACGTAACTAAGTACAAGCATGTTATATTTGAAAGCTGTAAAAACTTACGTCAAATGTATTTCAATTTAATGTAACTCAAAGTAGTGTAACACAGTTACATTTAAGACCGTAATATGTCATACAAACATGCTACATTGTAAGGCTGTAACTAGTAATATCAAATATGTAGCTGGTGATGCCTGTGCATCCATGCTGCTGCTGCTCAAAACCAAACAGGACTGGAACAACAGAGGATCACCTGATGCTGGCTGCTTTCTTCCTGCTGTCTGAGGGGTCTGACTCCGTGTCCAGCAGGAGCCTGAGGTCTGGAGATGTCTGTCCACGTCTCCTCTCACCCCCATGGTCCACTTCCAATCTAGATGCAGGACACAGGCGGTGTGAAATAACAGGTTGCATTGCATACAACTTTTCACACCTAGCCACAGCATGCACACTGCAGCAAGTGAGCAGATGCGTTATCGTTTAGTTGATAATGGAGGCCATCTTCAGAGCAGATACGTTGTAATTACAGTAATGCATAAGGAGCCAAAACAGACGTGGCTTATCTAGATTAAATGAATGCAAATTGTCCAGGGCCACGTGACGTTCTGGTCAACACTAGTCTCTAAAGTCCTAAAGCAGAATGTAAATAAGCAGCATCGGCCACGTCTGGAGGCTTTCTCTGCAGCTACAACGCAAAAAAAGTGGCCTCCCCCCTCTTCCTCATCTTCATTCCGACTCACGTAGAGCTCTTCCCCCGGGAGTCCTTGCAGCAGGGAACTTGTTCGGGACCAGGGGTGAGAGGTGAGCCCGTCGTCTCGCTCACCACTACCATCACGCTTTAGGGCTCATTCCTCCGTCTCCATCGGGGTTTTCGCTCAGAGCAGGGCACTTTTTTCCAGGAAGTCTTGGAAGTTTTTCTTTCTTTCCTTTGGAACGATTGCTCGACGGACAGGAGAGAAGATCCAGCGAGAAGGAGGAGGAGCCGGGAAAGGGGGAGGGAGCAGCCGGGATGAACGTCAGGAGAGACGAGGAAGGACGGAGCGGTGTCCCGCTGGGAGCGAAGGACAGAGTTTAACTGTGTGCTGGCTGGAAACGCTGCTAAAATCCCACCTTTACATTAAAGATAATAAAACAAATAGTTTATGCCGCTTAAATATTTACTAATTATTAAATTTACTCTTGGTGTATTTGCAAGCGTTTCCCAGCAGGGGGCAGCAGAGTTTAATTACGATCATTACGTGCTTTCTTTTGTGGAAGCCCATTGCTGCCGCTCTGATTAAAAAAAAGGTAAGTACAAGTACTTTGTTACGGTACTTCAATTCAGTTTATTTAATTCACAACACAAGAGTCATCTCAAAGTACTTTACAAAGCAAACATTGCAATTGAAGCTCCTTATCAGTGCAATCTGTTCATAACTTTTATGGACAGGATTTCTAGGCACAGCCAAGGTGTTGAGGGGATCTGTTCTGGTGGCCTGAGGACCAAGCCTCTGCTTTTTGCAGATGATGTGGTCCTGTTGGCTTCTTCAGAACGTGATCTCCAGCTTTAGCTGGAGCGGTTCGCAGCCGAGTGTGAAGCGGCTGGGATGCGAATCAGCTCCTCTAAATCCGAGACCATGGTTTTAAATCGGAAAAGGGTGGAAAGCCTTCTCCAGGTCAGGGATGAGGTCCTGACTCAAGTAGAGGAGTTTAAGTATCTCAGGGTCTTTTTCACGAGTGAGGGAAAAATGGATCAACAGGCTGATTGGTGCTGCGTCTCCAGTGATGCGGGTGTTGTACCAATCTGTCGTGGTGAAGAGAGTGCTGAGCCGGAAGGCAAAGCACTCAATTTACCGGTCAATCTACGTTCCTACCCTCACCTATGGTCACAAGCTTTGGGTAGTGACCGAAAGAACGAGATCGCGGACAAAAGCGGCTGAAATGAGTTTTTTCCGCAGGGTGGGCTCTCCCTTAGAGATAGGGTGAGAAGCTCGGTCATCCGGAAGGGGCTTGGAGTAGACCCGCTGCTCCTCCACATCGAGAGGAGCCAGTTGAGGTGGCTCGGGCATCTAGTCAGGATGCCTTCTGGATGCTTCCCTGGTGAGGTTTTATGGGCACGTCCAACTGGGAGGAGACCCAAGGGAAGACCCAGGACACGCTGGAGGGACTATGTCTCTCGGCTGGCCAGGGAACGCCTTAGGATTTCCCCGGAGGAGCTGGCCCAAGTAGCTGAGGAGAAGGAAGTCTGGGCGTCTCGGCTTAGGCTGTTGCCCCGTGACCCGACTCCAAATTAACAGTTGGAAATACAGGTGCTGGCCAGTAAATTAGAATATCATCAAAAGGTTGAAAATATTTCAGTAATTCCATTCAAAACGTGAAACTTGTACATTATATTCATGCAATGCACACAGACCAATGTATTTCCAATGTTCATTACATTTAAATTTGATATTCATAAGTGACAACTAATGAAAACTCCAAATTTGGTATCTCAAAAAATTAGAATATTCTGAAAAGGCTGAATATAGAAGACACCTGCTGCCACTCTAATCAGCTGATTTACTCAAAACACCTGCAAAGGCCTTTAAAAGGTCCCTCAGTCTTGTTTTGAAGGCACCACAATCATGGGGAAGACTTCTGACTTAACAGCTGTCCAAAAGACAATCATTGACACCTTGCACAAGGAGGGCAAGACACAAAAGGTGATTGCTAAAGAAGCTGGCTGTTCGCAGAGCTCTGTGTCCAAGCACATTAACAGACAGGCGAAGGGACGGAAAAAATGTGGTAGAAAAAAGTGTACAAGCTCTAGGGATAACCGCACCCTGCAGAGAATTGTGACGACAAACCCATTCAAAAATGTGGGGGAGATCCACAAAGAGTGGACTGCAGCTGGAGTCAGCGCTTCAAGAACCACCACGAGGAGACTCATGAAAGACATGGGATTCAGGTGTCGCATTCCGTGTGTCAAGCCACTCTTGAACAAGAAACAGCGCAAGAAGCGTCTCGCCTGGGCCAAGGACAAAAAGGACTGGACTGATGCTGAGTGGTCCAAAGTTATGTTTTCTGATGAAAGCAAGTTCTGCATTTCCTTTGGAAATCAAGGACCCAGAGTCTGGAGGAAGAGCGGAGAAGCACAGAATCCACGTTGCATGAGGTCCAGTGTAAAGTTTCCACCGTCAGTGATGGTGTGGGGTGCCATGTCATCTGCCGGTGTTGGCCCACTCTGTTTCCTGAGGTCCAGGGTCAATGCAGCCGTCTACCAGGAAGTTTTAGAGCACTTCATGCTTCCTGCTGCTGACCAACTTTATGGGGATGCAGACTTCACCTTTCAACAGGACTTGGCACCTGCACACAGTGCCAAAACCACCAGCACCTGGTTCAAGGACCATGGTATCCCTGTCCTTGATTGGCCAGCAAACTCGCCTGACCTTAACCCCATAGAAAATCTATGGGGTATTGTGAAGCGGAGGATGCAATACGCTAGACCCAACAATGCAGAGGAGCTGAAGACGACTATCAGAGCAACCTGGGCTCTCATAACACCTGAGCAGTGCCACAGACTGATCGAGTCCATGCCACGCCGCATTACTGCAGTTATTGAGGCAAAAGGAGCCCCGACTAAGTATTGAGTGCTATACATGCACATTCTTTTCATGTTCATTCTTTTCAGTTGGCCAACATTAGAGAAACAAACATTTTTTCATTGGCCTTTAGAATATTCTAATTTTCTGAGATACCAGATTTGATGTTTTCATTGGTTGTCACCTATAAATATCAAATTTAAATGTAATGAACATTGGAAATACATTGGTCTGTGTGCATTGCATGAATATAATGTACAAGTTTCACGTTTTGAATGGAATTACTGAAATATTTTCAACCTTTTGATGATATTCTAATTTACTGGCCAGCACCTGTAAATGGATGAGTTTGGTTTGTTATGCCATCTAGTTTAGTTGGTAGTTTAGTTTAGGTGATTAGTTATCACCTGTAAGCCTCTTTGGACAAAAGCGTCTGCTAAATACATAAACAGTTAAAAGTTTCCTATGTAAGGAAGCAAAGCAGATAGCTGTCTAGCTACAGATGCCCACAGGCACAGATCATCATCTCATAAAATCACTGCAGAGGTGGTAACAACAACAACAACAATATTATATTATTAAACATACAGATTTGGGATTTTTTTGTATCAGAGTGGTATGGGCTTCTTCAGATTTGGGGCAAATTTCGCTAATTAAAAAGTATTTTTTCACCATATTTGGTCCATGCATGATCTATAATTAGATTTTATTCCCTGAAATTTCCTAAGCCGACATCAAACACACATAACCTTCAGAGTTCAAAACATAATTATAGTAAATGATGAATAAAATAGCATAAGGCCATTTTTATTCAAGATTAATGAAAACAAACATAATAAATAAACGGTACTATGATATAAAAAACACATTATGTTTTGTCAAATTTTAGCTTTATTGTTCTGTTTGTTTTTTCATACAACGCAGAATTAAATTAGCTGTAATGTCACAAGTTCGCCACAAGATGGCAGAGGCTGATAAGTTCAAACAGTCACAATAAAAGTCTCATCATCTGGGTTAAAAGTGACCTTTCTTTGGAGACGACAGCGTTTTTACGTGTCTGATGTTTGATTAAACCGCTCTAATAATTTTTTTCACATCACAAAATTATTTTAATCTTAACCAAAACGTTTCTCCCATCTCGGCATCTTCCATGAACGCCACTGGTGACTAAAGATTGCCCTGGTCAGTCTTTTCACTTTCATAGAAAAAATGTTTTCTGGGTCAGTTTGGGAAAATTTAAACAACCAAAAATAAATCTCGCAGATCAACTTTGACCTATTCCAATCTATGATGAATAGGGCTAAATATTTAACTAACAACTGTTACAGTAAATAGAGATCAAAGTGTCAGTATTGAGACACATGAGCTGCTGTCTCAGCGTTGGTGATGAGTTGCAGTGGAGTCCATCGTAATGTTTCAAAGCGTCCCAAACTGTTTGTGAGAGTTCTCCGTTTCCTTGTGTTTTTGCGTCTGTGTTGTTAAAATCGGAAATGTCGTGTAACCAATTTTCTGTCACAGAGCCATCACGAGGGTCGAGAACCCATCTCAACCCTTTCTCCATTCAGGTTCCATGAGTTAGAATGAACAAAGCAGCTGGGATGAGGATCGGCTCCTCCAGCTCTGAGGCCACGGGCTTGAGTCGGAAAAGGGTAGAATGTATTTTCCAGGTCAGGGACGAGGTCCTGCCCAAGTGGAGGAGTTTGAGTATCTTGGAGTCTTGTTCACGAGTGAGGGAAAGATGGAGCAAGAGATCGACAGGCGGATTGGTGCTGCGTCTACAGTGATGCGTTTTACCGGTCCGTCCTATGATCAGGAACTTTGGGTGGAGACCAAACGCGTGAGATCGTGGATAGAAGCAGCTGAAATGAGTTTTCTCAGCAGGGTGGCTGGGCTCTCCCTTATAAGGTGAGAAGCTCGGTCATCCAGGAGGGGCTCGGAGTAGACTCGCTGCTCCTCCACATCGACAGGAGCCAATTGAGGAGACTCGGGATAACTCCTGGACGCCTCCCTGGTGAAGTGCTCTGGGCACTGGGAGGAGACCTAAAGGAAGACCCAGGACATACTGGAGGGACTATGTTTCTCGTCTGGTCAGGGAAAACCTTGATTCCCCCAGAGGAGCTGGTCCAAGTGGCTGTGGAGAGGGAAGTCTGGGTCTCTCTTCTGAGGCTGCTGCCCCCGCATCCTGACCCTGGATGAGTGGAGGAAAATGGATGGATGGAGGACCAACAAAGAAACATGAACCAACCTTGGGAGGGGTTGACGAAGTAGTTCCAACTAAAAATGAAAACATAAACATGGGCAGTCTAAGGCACACCTGTATATTGTCCATGCTGACTAATCAGACCCTCGAGATGCTCCACCTGTGAGGTGGGATGGATTATCTTGGTGAAGGAAAAGTGCTCACTAACACACATGTGGACAGATTTCAGAACCATTTTT